AAGTACCGGGGACAGAGCCTCACTCTCTATCTGTCAGATTCGGATTATAGTCCAATTTACATCCTTCCAATGTACCATCCGGTCGGGGTTGGGAGCAGGTGTCATCATTTTTTTGTAGAAGTTGGTTTCTGTTCCGCAATTGGTGGGTTCCCCTCCGGTCCTCCCCATGCATGCTGCTGGAAAACCAAAACCAAACGCCTTCAACTTCTCTCCAGCTCGACACCTCATCACAAAAACGAAGAAACGTGTAATACTCCCTCCTATTCGATTCTCACGCTCGATCTAACGTTGGGCATTGAAGTATGTAACGGTTCAAAATCGTTCTTGTGCATGACCAGAACAAAACCGCTTCTGGCGTGACCAGAACAGAAGCCGATTCAATTGCACCAAAACAGAATTAGATTTAGTTTTTAAAAGTTGATCTTTAAATAATTGTTGCTACGAGCATTTTGATGCCCTCAAAAATAATTTTACACTTTCACCCAAACATCTTAATATCTGTTTCTACTCTCTCAAGCAAAATTAATTTTAAAATTTCTAAAAAGTAGATTCAAACGCCTCTTATTTCTAGAACCCGTTTGGTAGCACGAAAACCGGCTGATTTAGCTGATTCTGCTGAAATTTATGAAGTTTTGACTGAGGTGGCTGCATTGGCTGATTCTGCTAATTTAAGAAAAAATAATTTTGAAAATATATTTTATTAATAAAATAAATAAAAAATGATATGTAAAAATAGCTAAAATGGTAACTTCAGCCAATACATCCAGAAAAGTTACTCTAGCCTTACTTTTTCTGCTTATTACACAATTTAGCGCGCAAAAGCCAAAGTTACGGGTTTAGTGAAAAAGTTGACTGATAAGTCTGATAAGCTGAAAAATGGTGTTGCCAAACGGCCTCCTAATATACTTACACATCCGACTGATACGTGGATCTCAGTTATACTCAACTTTTACCAAACAAAAACAAAAACAAAAAAAAAAAAAAGAAATATTTTACATGGCTTAAATGGAAAAACAAAAAATAATGGAAACCAACCAATAGCCTCCCATCCATGTGGGATGCTGGGAGGAACGAGTTCCTCAGCTGCTAGTCTAAGAAACAAACAGACAGTGATTTGTCGCAGTGTCAGCCGTTAGATCGTTATCTAACGGAAGGTGGGGTTGGATGGGGTTACCCAAACCGCAAGATCCCACTTGTGATGGCAACCGATCAAACAGCTGATCTGCGTGACATGCCCTGTAATAGAAGTATTTTTATGTTTAACGGTTAGAAAGCCTGACACTTGTATTTGTAACTTACCAGAAACGTTACTTGACGGACTTGTGGACGACTCTGCATTCCGTCGAACTCTTCATGTTTGGGTCAGGAATGGAAAATTGAAGCGGATAGATGATTTAAGGGCCACTTTCATAATACTCAAATCGCCTCTATGAAATTATGGTTGAAATAATTAGATTGATTGATTCTGCTGATTGATTAATGAAATATAATTACAATATATTTTATTAATAAAATAAAGATAAAATTATATGAGAAAATAGTTAAAATAATATTGATGGAGTATATGGGTCTGAGCCCCCGGACCCACATACTCGGAAGAACAGAAAGCACAAGACAACAGAGTGGCGCCCTCGTCGGCCAAGACGCCCCCTTCGGCCGAAAAGGGCCAACTCAGATTATGGTCCGGCTCGCCCAAGGAACCCGGGTGCCCTCGTCGGCCGTGCCCTCGTCGGCCGTACCCTCGTCGGCCACGCCCTCGTCGGCCACGAAGACCTCCCAGAATCGGATTTTATACTTGTTCATTTATACAGCCCATTAGTGGCTTTGTATTCGGCCCAGTAGCGGTCCAGTTGTAAATGGGTCTCCCAAGCCCAAGGCTTGAGAGCCCAACCCTAATTTTCTCTATAAATACTCCCCTTGGGAGTAGTTATAGGGGTTACGAATTCATTCTATTGAAGCATATTACTGCACTTCTCTCTCTAGCTCTCACTTCTCTCTAGATATACTCTATCAAATATTATATCGTAACTTTAGTCAATCCAGCCAGAAAAGTAACTGTAACCTTACTTTTTGTTATTATTACACAATTCAGCTCGCTAAATCAAAATTTTGGTTTTTGATGAAAAGATCATTGATAAGCCTGATAAGTCAAAACATAGGATTAAGTCCGGATTGAAATCCAATCATTGGATCAAGATCGAGGTTGGACTGAATAAATTTAAACGGATCTGCAATTTTAGATTTTGATATTTCGGTCTCCACCTCTGTGTGAGGGGGTGTTTGGAACTGTTTCTGCTTCTGCTTCTTTTTTAAAGAAGAAGTAGAATCAGAATCAGTTTTCAGAAGCTGGTCACCCCCAGCTTCTAAAAAAACTGATTCTAGGAGTAAATTCGAGCACCAGAATCACTTATTCACTTTCACCCAAACACTCCAACTTCTGCTTCTGCTCCCTGGAGGAGCAGAAGGAGTTTTAAGAATCAGATCCAAACACCCCCTGATACAATCATAGAAAACTAGATTTTAATTATGAGAGTGATGGAGTATATGACCCAGGGACCCACGGCCCATAGACTCCCACTACTATAACAAAGGCCCAATAAGCCCAGGGAGCACAGCAGGCCCAAATCACAGCACCCCAAGTGCCAAGCAGCCCACGACGTACACTTCAGTGCCTTCGGCCCCCATGGCCGAAGGCTCATAAACTTACAGTATAGCTGCTTCTAAGCACTCGAAGTTACTGGAAGAAAACGGCGAAAACAGGAGCCCTCGTCAACTAGAGCCCTCGGGATGAAGAGCCTTCGGCTAATCATCTACACCCGAAGGCATCTCCTCGACAGAATCTCCCACCCACATGCGCTGGATCAACGTACCAAGTACAAACGTCGCATCCAACCACTGCATTTAATGCGGCCACATGCGAGTGCCAGTGCCGCCCCGTTGAGGTGACCCCTCGACCACCAGAATGATGACACGTGTCCTTATCTAGCATTTATTGTTGCTATAAATAGCACCCCTATCCCCGTTTGTGAACCATGCTGAATATACTTAAAGCAATACCACCCTCTCTCTTATTATTACTCTGACTTCTCTCTAAGTTACTCCCGCAGTAACCCCTCGGATAAATACCCCCCGGGTATACCTATCCATCACAGATTTCCCTAAATAAGACTAAATAAAAGAATAATTACAACAATAGAAGTTTAAAGTTTAAATTCCCAAAATAGGACTAACTCTTCCTATTCTTCCCTTTCCCTTGTCCTTCCTAATAGGCTTTTTAAATAATCATTATAAAACATTAAAAAATATTTTAAAAACTAAATAAAAAATATACAAACCTCAACCACTATTTAAGCCACCTTCCAGCACATCCACCTCTGGTCACCGAAAAATATTGTCAAGTTGGGAGAAAAATATCATCATAACGACAATTTGACAAAAAACTGAATACTTTCAAAGAGTAAAAATGTCATCCTCACGACATTTTCAGAGAAATGTGACATTTATTTCTCAAGATGACATTTTTTCCGACGATCGAAGGTGTTGGTGCTGGGAGGTGGGGGATGCGGAGGTAGTGGCCTACACCTTTTTAAATATTTTTTAGGTATTTTTTTAATTTTTTAGATTTTCTAATTTAATTTTAAATATTTTTTATTTTTTAACTTTTTTTATTTTTTAATTTTTCTTTTTTTTCCCAATTTTTTTATTAATTTATAAAGTTTTTACGATTTTTTATGCTTTTATTATTAATAAAACTATGATTTTTGTTATTAACAAATAAATGTATCAGAAATTGTAGGTTGGGGGTATAATAGGAAGAAGAACATATATTACTCATATTTTGAGAATAAAAGAAGTATACTTCTAATGTGGAATTTTGGGTCACTTTTAGTCCTATTTAGAGCCAATAGTTGTTGTTAAGATTTCCCTAAATAGGACTAAGTAAAAGGATAATTGCAACAATAAGAGTTTTATGTATCCCAAAATAGGACTAACTTTTCCCGTTCTACCCTTTCACTTATCTTTTCGTAATAGGATTTTTTAAATAATCATTATAAAACATAAAAAATTAGAATAAAAAAATCATAAAAATAAATAAGAAATATACAGACTTCAACCACCACCTCAAGTACCTTCCAGCACCATCACCTCCGTTCGCCGGAAAAGATTTCCAAATTGGAAAAAATGTCACCATGATGGTAATTTTGAAAAGAAAGATCTAGACCAACTAGTGTTGTTACACGATGTTTTAATTTTAATTCTATAAATATATTTCTATTTAAGTTAAACAAAAGTGTCTGTACATAATGGCGTGAAATTAATGCTTCGTTGGATTGTGTGTTGTGTTTATTTTAAGGGAAAAATAATTAAAAATACCTCAAACTTTGATGAGGTGTGAGATAAGCACTCCAAACTTGCATATGTAATTTAAATACCCCAAACTTTATATAAAAAATTATTTTAACACCATGATTATGTATTATTTTTTTCAAGACGCAGGGACGATCGTCCTCACCCCCTGTTCATTTATGGCCACACATTATAGTGTGAACTATAATGAACTATTATCATTATGATCATCACATCATTACTCCGTATTATGTTGTTGTTATTATGTCTAATGTTATTATTTTTATTTATTGGATTAGTTACTTACTCTTTTAAGTAAAGAATTTATGATTTCAATAATTAATTATGTTACTTTTATTCATACTTTAATGACATACGGATTAATTTTTACTTTATGGCTGTTATCAAATTTGATCAAATTTTGAGGAAACAAACGGTACCTTGTAGAGGCCGTCAAAAGATAGGATATTTCTAGACTGCTTACATAGTACGGAGTAGATAGTGCTGAAATGTTGGTTAATTCAGAATTGACCATCAAATGCTTGAAAATTTGTGAAAAATTGTGAAAAAGACCGTCAACTAGTTTCATTCAAGGGCGGTAGTCAAAACTCAAAACCAGACATTTAATACGCAATTTTTAAAAATCCATACGTGGAAAATAAATAATAAATTTGGACGAGAAAATGGTATAGGTGGGTAAATAAATAGGAGTCCTAAAAAGGATGAGATAAACCATACCCATTACCCCCACCTAAGATTGGTGCTCACAAGAATGTTGAGCTCTCAAGGTCTGGTTTTGGCTACCGCCATGGCAGTCTCCGCCGGCACCGTCATTCTCTTTGACCTTTTCCGGGACAAATACTACCCCGGCCACCACAATCAAGATTCCTCCTCCCCTGAAACCCCGCGGATTCTTAGGTCTTGTTTGGCTTCAGGTTCTTCAAAATCTTGATCCCTTCTGATTTTGATTTTCCTCCCAAAATTTAATCTTTCTTTTGCATATTTACAATTCTTGATTTTCCGACTTTACCATATGATCGAAATATGAATGGTGAGAAATGATTAAGCAGGGGAGAAGAAGAGGAAGGAGAAGAGAGTGAGCTTTGCAGAGGGTGTGAAGGAGTCAATCCGGAAAGGAGAGGAATACCGGAGAGGCTTCCGGAAGGTCAACCGGAGACGGTCGTGCGGCGGCGTAGTGAACCGGGGAATGCCCGCAAATCACGCCGCATTGTACACCGGAGTTCTCAAGGATCGGTCTCTCCGGTTGGAATATTCATACTGATCATCGTCTGTCTATATTCAGAATTGTTTTCGGCTGTGTATAGTTTGTCTGTAGTACATAGATCAGAAACATGATTAGTATTTCTCTCTTTTCTAAGCTTTTTGCCCTCATAATTGTATAGTATTTCTTTTCTAATTAAAGAAATTGTTTTGAAATTCAGAATTATTCAATACCCCTCATCTCACCCTGTAAAAGTTATGTATTTCATTTTAAACTCTCTCAAAATAAAAATTAGTAGTATGTTTACTTTTTCGATAATTATTTTTACATCTACTTCATTGCTCATCCTCCCTTCAAGTATTAATCAACAACTTTGACATTTCAACTTTATTTTTCATTAAAATTGAGTTGTTGCCTGGGTTTTTATGACACTTTTTCTTACGAAGTACAAGTATTAATATACTAGCCTAAAAAGTTCATAATTATTGTTTTACGATGGAGGTAATTTAATACGTAATTGTTGTACGATCATACAATTATTACCAGATTGTTGCTTATGGAGTCGTATAAATATATTTCCACAAATGACATGGTATCGGATGGCAGAGTGAGAGATTTTCTTTACACCGAGTGTTTGGATTTAACTTTTAAAATTGTTTCTTTTTCATTCATATTTTTAAAAGAGAAGGAGAAACTAACTAATTCCAAATACACCTTTATACTTAAGGTGGGTTTGAGTGTTTGTTAAAAACGTGTGATAGCTTCCCGTTAAACCCGCCGGTGATATTATAGAGAAACGGGAGATATACGAGTTTAGAGAGAGAAAGTAACTTGTATAAATGGGAGTCTAACCCTTTACAACTACCTCTAAGAAGAATATTTATACTAGTAATTAATGAGGCAGTGCATTACATGCATTACACGTGTTGTCTATTCTATGGGTGACAACCCTGGAGTGTAGCAGCACTAGACGTGTGTCATTCTTGAACCGACTTCTAATCAGGTGTTCTCTATTGGCCGAGATGATGTTGGTTGGGGTGCAGGTGTGTACCCCAGGTTTGGTGTTTTCCTTGTCTGTGAGCTGTTTGTGTGGGATCTTGGATCGAAGTGATAGGTTTGAGGTGATGACCAAGGTGATTGTACAGACAGTGGACATACTTCTTCGTTATGGATTGGATTTTGCTAAGAGATCCCAAATGGTATCATGTGTTTGGGCCGCTTTATGTATCCAAGAGTATGTTGGTTGTAGGTCTGGGCTCATATACTCTATCAGGAGTCTCTCGCTCACTCAATTTAGAGTTTTTGAAGTAAAAGTCGGAAGAGTTGATTAATTTTGATCCTGTTGAATAACAAGTTCAGCAGTGCTGTTAGATTAGTCTACATGATTGCAGGATTAGTGAATTTGTTTGATCATTGGAGGTCATCTGATTCTATGTCTCATCTCAATGTAGCATCAAGCTATTGGATTTTTTTTGTCTCTTGTTGCTTTTATTATTAATAAATAAGTTTTTTTTGCCAAAAAAAAAAAAGATATCGAAAGGATACATCATGGAAAGATCTCTTGTATTTTTCATCTTCTAATTTTGCTGTAAATACTCGACGAGTTGATTCATGTCACGATATTTAGCTTGAAGAGTCTTTGATTTCATGAAAACTAGTATGGTACCCGTGCAATGCATGGGACAATTCGTTCTAGGATAATTGGGTTTACGTGCATATTTCCAGTGAATGTAATTTTCACAAAACATAATTTTTTCAAAAAAAAAGGAATAATAAAATGCAAAATATAAATAAAATGTAAGCTTATATACAACATTTTTAAATAATGACATGAAAAGAGCAATATCCCATTATTAATAACCAATTGGTTTTTGTGAGAATATTAGACAACAAACAGCTAGTAAATAATACAACACACAAATTGTACACATTTATCAGTTATAATGATATTTTCAACAAAATACACACCTTTAATGTAATATCAAATATTAAACCCAAACAAAGCATAAAAAGATGAACTAATGTATCATCCATAATGGAGTAGTTCAATACATTTATTAAAACCAATAGAATAGCTCAAACTTGTAGCTTAAACCTCCTTAATATGATAGTACTATGTATATATTAATAGAATATAATTAATAATAGGGATATTTATGTACTTTACATTAAACTATTTTACTATAAATATATCTGACAGGGTTCCTTAGAGAGCATCATTTTCCATTATTCTCACATGATATCAAGAGCACATTAAAAAAATTTCCAATCTTTTCTCTCTCTACAAACTCGGTGCCGTGAGCTAATCCTAGAGCAGCCGCCGTCCGCCCTGCGTCGGTCACTCACGCCACCGCAGCATGATGACTTCTTCTTTGACGTCTTCCGCAGCGATCAGCACGCCGGTGACCACAGTCATCTCAGCTTCGTCTGTAGCGGCCAGCACCACCGCAACCACCGGCACTCCTCTCTCTTATGGAACGCTGCCGGCGATCAGTTATGTCCCTTCCGGTGTGACGTTCTCCTCCAAATTTGCATCACCAAGCCAGACCTCCATGCCATACTCTCTGTTTCACAATTTCCCGCTGATGTTTCCATGGTCGGCTCCTACCCCTGTGCAAGTCGTACCTCTTGAGCTGCTACCATTCTCGGCCACGATGTTTGCCGGAACCACGTTCGTGGGATCACCCGGTGTTTCCTCCACCTTGCCTCCTCTTCGAACACCTGCAGGCAGCCTGGTCGGTTTTCCCTTGACAGAACTTGCTCAAACCATCTCTCATGTGGCGACAAATGTCACCAATATTGTGACTACCAAGCTTCTCGCGGTGGAAGATTACGCTACTTGGAGGACTCAATTTGAATCGTTTTTGGTCTCGCAAGGTCTCCTTGGCATGGTTGATGGCTCCATTCAGGTACCTCCTGCTTATTCCATAGATGTTCTTAACTGTCAAACTCTCAATCCCGAATTTTCCACTTGGTTGAGAATTGATCAAACAATTCGTTCATGGTTATTTGCAACCCTATCTCGGGATGTACTTATCGATGTTCGTGATTTAAAACATTCACGTGAATTTTGGGAAAGGTTGGAGTCTCGGTTTATGTCTGCTAGTTTAGCCCGATCTATGCAATTAAAGTGTTTACTAAATAAAATTAAAAAGAAACCTGATCAATCTATGGACAATTATTTGAGAGAAATTAATATCTTAGTGGATGATCTTGCCACAATTAAATGTCATGTGCCTCCAAGGGAAGTGCTGAAGACTACTATAATGGGACTAGGCCCGGAGTATGAATCTTTATTCACCACAGTGTCATTATTTCCTCAAAACTACCCTTTTGAAATCATCTTCTTGAGTTAGAGCAGCGGATTATTTATCTACGCTCCCAGGAATCCTCGTCCTTTCATGAGGCCTTCGGCGCAGCTATGTCTCACCCCAGACAACCGACTGGCCAGCAAGCGGACCTTTAGCAGTCGGGTTACCAGCACCCGATCGGGAAGTCGCATCAGGGTTCAATGCACCCGGTCAGGCAGCAGCGCCAATCAGACCAACCACAACGCGACAGGGGCCGTGGTCGAGCACAACAACCAGTGCAGTACGACCAGCAACAGGCTTACTTGTATCCTCATGGGCAGCCAATTTATAACCCTGGTGGGGGTGGTCAGCCGGGTCCGGTTGGATATGCTCCACATGCAGGGGGTGTGACATCTATGGGTACTGTAGTTTGTAATTCAGCTATGTCACATTTAAATATTAATGCATTCCCTGTTTGTGCTACTAACTTTAGTTCCGCAGGCTTGCCATTAGATGAGAGTATTCTTGGGGTTGTTCCTCATCCTGTCGTCTGTCAAATTTGCTTTTATGTAGGTCATTCCGTTGTCACTTGTCCCTCTCGTTTCACACAGTCGTCTGCTCCTGCTCTGTTGACTACTCCTAGTGAAACTAATTATGCTCTATTGTATCCTCATGCGGGAGCATCTTCTTACATGACTGCATCCGAAGTTATTTTATTTAATAAATCTCCTTACAACGGCCATAATTCTGTTAGTGTTGCTAATGGTGTTCACCTTCCCATTTGTCATGTTGGTAATGTTGCATTATCTTCTTCTGGTCATCCTCTCACTTTAAAATCTGTTTATCATGTGCCTCAGTTAAAATATACTCCATCTGTCCCAATTTGTAAAATACTTTATGGTTTCCGATGTTTGATCGACGATAAAGCAAATTCATCTCTGTCAACACTCAAATTAGGTTTACAAAATAAAATTTACATATTCAAAAACTACATTAAAATCGCTACAAAACCTGCAAACAATAATTCAAATTTCATAAACTTTTGATATATAAAGTAAAAGATTAAAAGTGATTTATGTTGACCAAGTGAATAGTAAATGTATCTTACAATTTGGGACTGAGGGAGTAATTTAATTTCCATTCAAAGGCTCTGCGCTGATAATAATTGTACTGTGATTTTTGATAAAAATTCTTTTTTGATTAAGGACAAAGCCTCAGGGGCAGTACTTCTACGAGCTACCAGTAATGGGTCACTTTATCCTATTCGTCTGTCGTCATCATCATCATTAGTTTTAGCTTCAGTCTTAGCTTCTGGCCCTGTGCGGTACTGTAGACTAGGTCACTGCGGTGACAATATTTTACAGTTTCTCAAGAGAAACAATTTTTATGTAGTTGTTGGTCCAAAATAGGACGCTCGTAGGCTTTTAGGAAAGCTACGAAAGAACACTCAAGCAGGAATTAGGAAAGTACGAATATGGAAAGTTAGCCAGAAATAGCATATCTGTATTTGAAATTCGAATTGCCTTTTATAGGCGATTACAAATGGTAACTGCCGAACATAATAATGACTAAATTAATTACAACATTAACACGGAATTAAACACATAATTAAGTAGCGCATTGATTGTTGGCCGTTACTCTTCCTGGCTGGCAGGCTGGACGCTTGAGCTCCCTCCTGCTGGACTGGACGGTGGGCTTCCCGCTAGGCTGGAGGAAGGCTTCTCACCGGGCTGGAGGCAGGCTCCCGGGTAGGCTGGAAGGCAGGCTCCCGGGTAGGCTGGAAGGCAGGCTCCTCGATGGGCTGGAGGCAGGCTCCCACCTGGGCTGGACCGCGGGCTCCCAGTTGGGCTGGATCGCAGGCTCCCAGCGGGCTGGTGGTCGGTAGGCTCCTGGCTAGGCTGGAAGGCAGGCTCCCCACTGGGCTGGAAGGCAGGCTCCCCACTGGGCTGGAAGGCAGGCTCCCCGCTGGGCTGGTCGACAGGCTCTCTTGGGCTTCCGCTCCTTGATTGCCCTGATTGGTTGGGCCGA